AGAAAAGCATGAAAGGAAGCAATTTAAGCATTTCCATTTCACTGCTGCAAATCAACAGGGAATGTTAGTGAAGGCATCAACTGTTCAGACCCATGGTGGTTCACAGTTTCCCAGCTTTCCAATGACTGCAAAGAAATGTGACCATTATTCTGAACTCATGCTTCAATAGGGAATTTTTCAGAGCAGTAGTATAAACTATTGTCCTTTAAGTTGCTTTGTTAAGTTCTTAAATCACTGTTGGCAGCATATAAATAATGCTCCACAATTTCTGAACAGTCTATGTCTACTTCCAGAAGTGTTGGATCAGTTTTCTGCTACTTTGTTTGAAACCAGTATGTTTTATTTAAATAAATGTATAACCAGTATTTTCAATAACGTATTTATTTCTCTAATTATTAATTTCTTAAATAAATTATTAAATGGACCATATAAATTCAACAACATGCTTGGGGCAAGGATTACTTAGCTATTGTACACCAAGACCTGTATTGTACTCGAAGTTGTGTGACTCAACCTGAAATGTACAATGTTTTCCTCACCTCTTTTTTGTCCTGTTATGTTTGATGAAGCACTGTGTAACTGAAATATAAAATACTTTTTTCTTATAGCCATTGACTTTCAGACAGTGGATAAGTCAAATATTCCAACAGCAGAATCAATTGCTTGAAGTAAACTCTCTTCACACTTCACATATACAAAAGTGATATACACAAATGTGATCAGTGACTTGAGATCCACCCTTCCAGAGAGTAAAACTGAAGAAAGAGGAGTGCATTTGTTTCTAGACTAGAATGAAATCTGTGGCATTAGAAACTGTTTAAAGATGACATCAACAAAAACCACAGCATCACCAGCCAGTTGAGGCAGGTGATTGTTCCACACTTCTCTGCTGGTGTGGCCTCACCTTGAGTCCTGTGTGCAGTTTTATGATCTTCTAAAGTTAGAAAGTGTCCAAAGGAGGGCTATGAGCATGGTAAAGGGCCTTGAGTGGAAGGACATATGAGGAGGTGCTGAGGTCATTTGGCTTGTTCAGCCTGGAGGAGGCTGCGGGGAGATCTCACTGTGGTCTACAATCTCCTCATGAGGGGAAGCGTAGGGGAAGGAATTAATCTCTTATCTGAAGTCAGGGGAAGTTTAGGCTAGATACTAGGAAAACATTCTTCTTCCAGAGGGTGGCTGGGCACTGGAACAGGCTCCCCAGGGAAGTGGCCATAGCACTAAGCCTGAGAGAGTTCGAGAATCATTTGGACAACACCCTTGGGCACATGGTGTGATTCTTGGGGCTGTCCCATGCAGGGCCAAAAGTTGGACTTCAATGATCCTTATGAGTCCCTTGCAACTCAGGATATTCTACGATTTAAGGTGGCTGGAAGAGAGTTCCAGAGGGCTACTCATGAGGCAGTGCCTACAGTCAGCAAAGACAAGCACAACAGCTTTCCAAACAAATCCAAACTCAGTGAATTCACTTCTGTGTGTGATACCCAGGAGATAAGGAAAAGACTGTTATTCACAATATATCTACAGAACTTCCAAAGGCTTCATGCTCCTTATTGCCATCTAACTTCTGCCTGCGAACACTGGTCTTCTGACCCTTGGCATACAGCAGGTTGCCACATAAATTTATAACATTTGAAACAACCAGATCATAGCTCTTCATAATTTATGGTTACAGATAAATAAACTTCTAGCAAGTGGAGGTGAAAAATGTTTTTTCACCCCCTAAATATCTGTACTTCTTCAGGTTCACTACAGCTTTGTGAGGTACCACTATTGAGGTCTCAATTTTACATAAAGTATGGAAATAATGACAGAACTAGTAAGAAATCTGTCCAAGGTCACAAGCAGCAAACTCCATCACTCTTAACTACAGCGAGAGCCAGCAGCAGTCTGGTGCCAGAACCTCCGTTTCACCACTATCTCCTCTCAGAAAATGTTACTAAAGCAACTGGAGAACATGATCCCTCTGCCCAGAAGATAATTGTGAAATGTGTTGGCTGTGCAATTTACGGGAAAGGTGCAACAACTAAAGAGGCAGCATAGTTCAGATTCATTTCCCCAAAAATGTGAGATAACTTGCAATT